CTAATCTGTGATATTGCTTTCACAGTATCAACGTTGATCATTTTCCAGGTTCAGGTTTAGAATGTCTACACGATAGCTTGAGAGCGCTGTTGTATTAGAGAAGCTGCTAATATCTGAGCTTTACACTTCACTACATAATAAATGCGGAACAACGCACAGAGCAATCTGAGCACCTTGTATGAGGCGTATGACTTCTCACCTTTAACGTGAGTGCACATTAACTAAACTTAAGATGAGTTGTATCTGGACTTTTATCAACCCAGTGCCTTCTCTCAGTTGGGCAGTAGAGTACCACATTTAAGTTTTAGTAATTTAACACGCTGCAACTTTAAAAAGTGCAGTTTCCTTCAGCCTCTCCACCTGTCTCGAGTTATCCAGATGATTTTTGTTGCCGAGCTCGCGAGTGGGTGTTCGCCTGTTTATACTGGATGCAAACATGTTACCTTTCCCAAATGCACGTCTTGGAGAGGTTTGTGTAGTGCAAAATGTTGTGTGTGTGAATGTCTGTGTGGTGTTTTGTGTTGAGTGATGTATTCTAATTTGATAGTAGTGGCCCAATCTGCCTGCCAAGGTTATCCAGCTTTGGGATTGGCGAGTGGGGCATCAGGACGATTCTGACACAGCCAGGCCGTTCCTGACATGCCCCCAATTCTAAACATGGCTGTCCACTCACTTCCTTTAACTCTTCCTCTCTGTCTGCCTTGTCCACTACATATCCCCCCCCCCACAACACACACACACACACACACACACACACACACACACACACACACACACACACACACACATACACACACAAGAAGGATGCACACTGATGGTGTCCCACAAACAGCACAGTAGCAGCCTTCATAACTACTCAGGAATAATGAGTGGAAATAAAAGTGTACATGTACACACGCATGGACACATGCAAACACGAGTGTGTGGTCATCTTATTTCAGCTAAATGCTCAACGCAATCGTATAAACATTCATTTGTATCTTGTAAATTTGGCAACGACTGAATAAACAGAGAAATTGCGACTGGTGTTTGTATAAATGAGTTCTGAGGCAGGAGCGGGCAAAATAGATGCTATAGGACCTTAATCAATTCTCAGCACAGACAATAGGTGTAATATGTTCTATTACTTCAGGTGTCAGGAACCAGGACGTGGCATTAGCGTGTGAATACCACACGAGCACACTCGATAGCTAAGTGTCAGAGCTACTATTTACAAGTGAACAATTGTTGTGAGCTCCTCTCCTTTTGTCTCCACTCCGCTTAATCTGCCTCCTTTTTTTTTGTTTTGAACAACCACACGCAACCGCACAACAAGCAAGTGCACACATTCCAGCTTTGCGTCCCATAGGAGGGACAGGCAGTGGCTGTCTAGATATTATAGAGAAGCGTGGGAGGACACAGCCCAGAGCCAGAGCATACAGGACCTCAGTTGCAGTAAGCTGTAGACAGGTGCGCTTTCCACTGCCTCTTCTAGTTAATTACCAACAGCGCGGTGCTGGAACGCTTTGCCCGGGATCCACAACCAGCGTAACACCTATCAGTTGCATGGAGAGGATCCAGCAGGGTCTGTGCCGAGCGCCTCCCCACCACCGCCGCTTATAGGCTGAAGCTAAGCAAGTATACACACAAAAAACACAGACATGAGAGACACTCCCCACTGCATTCTACACACGCACTTGTAATATTTTGTATTGTATTCGTTTGCGCGCTGGCGTAATTGGTTTACGCCTTGGACATTGTGCACCCAGACACACACCTTCAAATGGAGCGCACATACACCCGCCACGCCTCTGCCACACTTCTTTTTCTTTCTCTCCAAAATACTCATTTTTCCCTCCAATTCCTCCTCGTTTCCCGGAGGGCCCTGAGTAAACATCAGTTATCGACACATGTCGTTCTGGTCGTGGTCTCATGGAACCTCCTTGTTTCACGTGACCTTTCTTCCCCTCGCCGTTCCGGGAGTCTCCGGGCGCTGGTCACCTCTGATCACTCCTCCGTCTGCCTTTGGTTCGGGTAAAAAGGTTCGGCAGAGAAAGGAACCGAGCAAATAAAGGGAAGCAGCGATCAACAGACATCTCACTGGCGCCGCCTGCTGCTATCCAATGAAGATAGTACTGTTTGTTACTCACCTTACCTTATCACCCCTCCCCCTCTACATATCTCTCTTAAACCTCACTCTCCTGCCCTCCACAACCCCACCGCCCCTGTTTTGTACTCGCATGTCTCCCTCCACCCCTCTGCAGTTCTCATCCTATATTGGCTCACATCTCAATCAGCAGATCCCAGTTTTGCTTCATTCCCCATCAATCAAATGGACGAGTTTTTGACTGTGGTGTAAAAATTAAATAACTCTCAAGCCAACTCAATGGGGATTGCAGACCATTCACGCCAGTGATCTCTCTCTTGTGGGGCGCGCCCTCTCTCGCACACACACACATACACACACACACACACACACACACACACACACACACACACACACACACACACACACACACACACACACACACCCACCCATCTGGACATGTGAACACACTCATATAAACACAAAAACTCAAACAGACTCTGGCTTGTACACATCACTATGCACTCATGGACATACTGCACGCACACGCAGACACACACACACACACACACACACACACACACACACACACACACACACATACAGTATACTACATGTACACTACTTGCAAATTCACACGCCACATGCATTACAGACTGAAAGGACCTACAAATAGCCTTATAATGGTCTAGCTGCCACCACTGGTGCACATAAATACAAACACACACATACACGTACATGGATGCACACACAAACCCGGTGCTTGGGCTGTGCTAAATGAAAGCATCATCACGTACGGCGCAGCTGCCTGCAATGCCTGCCACATTAAGCAAGCCTAATGGGCTTTCAGAGCAACAACACAGTGTATGGGTTGTACATTCTCGAGCATTCTGTGGAATCAGCGGGACATTCTGTTCGTCGGGGTACGCATGTCAGTCTGTCAGGGGGCCTTCCGGGATGGTAAAGTGGAGGAAGTTTGTATACACTGCTATGAATATAACTTCATTTGTCTAGGTTTCTAAGAGTTTGCATTCATGAATGAAAATATTGTTTTTGTTTTGTGCCGCCACTGAATTTCAAAGGGATTTGAAAGGATGAATATTCACTATGCGAATATGTGCGAGGTCTGTAGGAGAGAGCAGGTAAGAAGTATGTGTGCAAAGCTCACGCTGGTTAGGAACATTTGCGTTTAAGAGCTGCTTCCAGAGGAGAATAAATGTGTGAGCGTTAGGGGTAAATATTAGAATGTGCAGCCAGGAGTAGAGTGAGGTTAAAGCATGGCAGATTAGTCGGGACACCGAGGAGGCGCAGGGGTACACATTAGACTGTGAAGCCATGTGTGATGATCCTGCAGGTTTCCAAATGAGCTCTGATTAGCCTGAGAGTGATTTCAGCAGCTCTCGTCACATCAAATCTCTGCCCTTCCCCTTTAAATTCTACTTCCTCGTTCTCCTTTCCTTTTCTCTCCTCCTACTCCTCCGGTCACACTATAATAGAGAGAAAACATTTCAGCCAAAGTCTGGCTGCAAAAATTATACACACCCAGACGGTATGGGTGTTCATGAACATGTGTCAACGTGCATGTCTGTGAGCCTGACTCCATTAGAATCTTAATTTCATCAAAGCAAATGTTGTGCCTGTGCTTTGGGGATGAATACTGATAACAGTCAATTGATTATTAATGCATTATTAATACTCCCCAAGTGCCAGGTCGCACGGATAGTTGGAGGCTCATTTTCCTTACAAGTACACACATGCACACACAAACAGAAAGCAACACAGTGCCAGAGGCCAAAGGTGTCCAACGGAACAGAGCGTACGCTGCACAAATCCGATGTTACAAAAGCAGCCAAATTAAGATTGGGGGGGG